CAGCACAGACTCGAACCCACGAGCCCTGCCGCTCCCAGGGTGCTCGCTGTCTCGGCGCAAGGTGCACGCCTATCTTGGTTACTTTTCTCTCATTGCTGAGACAAAATATCTGGTGCCAAAAATTAAGAAAAGAAAGGTTTATTTAGCTTACAGTTTGTGGAGGTTCCAGTCTATACTCAGCGGGCTCCAAGACAGAGTGGCACATGGCAGAGGGCAACTGTTCATGGCTGTCAAACAGCAATGCAACAGGAGGAAAGAAGGGGAGGAGTGGTGGCAAGCAGTCTCTTTCTCTTCCTTACATGTGCAAATTGTCTGACCCAGGGTGGGTGTAGCACTCACACCCATAATCCCAGCATTAGACTATGGATCAATCAAAAATCTAGAATAGAAGTTCACCTCCTGACTGCATGAGGATTTGGGGGGACATGCAGTCACAACCCATAACAAAGATGTCTCTCTCTGTTAGAACAACTAGTATGAAAAAGACAAAGAATAAAAAGCACTAGTGAGGATGGTGAAAAAAGGGAACACACATTGTTGGAGGGAATGTAAATTAGTATAGTCACTGTAGAAAATAGTGTGAAGATTGCTCAAAGAATGATAGAACTATCATATGATCCAGGAATTTCAGTTCTGGGTACATACTCAAAAGATCTAATGTCATTAAAAGATACTTGTGGTTCCATGTTTATCACAGTGCTACTCAAATAGGGAATTAATGGCAATACCCTTCCCTGGATGAACAGATGAAGAAATCTGGCATATTTACGCAATGCAATACTATTTAGCCCCAAAAGAAAATGAAACCCTGCCATTTGCAGCAACAGAGATAGAGCTAGAGGTCATTGTGTCAAGTGAAATGGGTCAGGCACAGCAAGACAAACACTGCATCACATTCTTACTGTGTGCAGAAATGATTAAGCCAATCTTGTAGAACAGCAGAAAGGGATAGTAGTCACTGGATACAGCGAAGGGCAGGGGTGTGGGGAGGCAGGAAGAGGTGCAGTACAGGGCTCCAAGACACAGAGTTCAGGAATTACTTCGGGTCCTTCTTGAGAGTAGTAATGTAACTAGGTTAAAACAATCCAGGATAGATTTCAAAGTGATTATGAGAGTATAAATTTCTCAATACATAAAAATGATTAATGTTTGAAGAAATGGACAATAATTAATACCCGTTGGATTACTAAACATTGTCTACCTGTGTTAGATTACTGTATCTCCTAAAGATATACTAATATAATGTCTCAACTAAAAGAAATCATAACAGCAGCAGAAGATAAGATGGGAAAATTTTCCTCTCAAATGCTAAGAGATACGAAGACTTGAATTAGAAAAATCGACATCTATTAGGAGACCCAGAAATAATGAACCTAATCTAACCAATGGCAAGTTGGAAAGCAAGGGAAAAAACAATGAAAGTACAGAAAATTTAAAAAGTTTAAGTCAGGAAATCATAATGTAGCCCTTATAGAAAATCTAAGTAAGTTAAGGTAAAAGGCAAATTTTCTACCACCTCGCACTCATCAGGATAGCCACTCGCAGGGCAACAAAGCAGCAATTGCTGGGATGTGGGGAAACTGGAGCCTTTTTGTACTATTAGCAGAGGTATGGGATAGTTCAGTCTCTATGAAAAGCAGTATGACAATTTCCCTCAATATTACCAATTGGAGTACCATATAGTCCAGCAATTCCACCTCTGAGTATATATGCAAAAGAACTCAAACAGGGATTTGAAGAAACATTTGTGTGCCTTCTTCATAGCATTACTCACCACAACCAGTAAGTGGAAGTAACCCAGGTGTCTGTCAGCGGGTGAATGGATGAGGAAGCAGTGGTATATATCTCTAGAGTAGAATTTAACTCAACTTTTAAAAGGTAGGCTGTTCTGAGAGTGCTGTGATGCCCGGATGTGGAGGGAAGGGCAATGGGGAGCCAGCTGTGCTGAGTGAGTACAGAGTTTCTGTCTTGCTTGATGAAAAGTGTTCTGAAGGGGCTGAGGATTTAGCTCAGCGGCACAGCGCCTGTCTGGCAAGCGTGAGGTCATGTGTTCAATTCCTGGTACCAGAAACAAACAAACAAACAAACAAACTAAAAGTTCTGAAGATGACTGGTGGCAAGGGTAACATGCAGTGTGAACATACCTAATGTCACTGAATTACGCACCGGAAAGTGGCTAAAATGACAACTTGTTCACTATGCGTCTTGCTGCAATTAAAAGAAGACAGATTCCAGGTCTGGGGAAAAAGGAATATAACATGATGTTATGAACTAGAAGAGGATACCACAGGGGTGAATGGGGCCTGGAATCGTGTGAGACCTGTTTGAAAGGGCCGACAGTATTTGGGAGGGCTTCCAACATTCGTGGATTCTCACATCAGACAGATTTATTTGGTGTTGCTTCAGGAAGCAGAGCTGGGATTTGTGGATAGAATTTGCAGAGAATATTTTTGGCTCTTATGAAGAAATACTTCTGAGTTAATGGACTCCTTCATCCATAAAATGAACTTCCACGTGAAGAAGTAAGATTCCCATCACTGGAAGTGACCCAGCAGGAGGCGACTGGTCACTTCTTATTTGTTTCTTCCTCAGAAAGAACTCAAAGCCTATAATCTCTAGAATTTTCTTCCATCACCGTCGTTTCCAGGTTGTTTGGCTAACTTACTGACGGATGAAATTTTTATTTTAAAGTCAGCATTATTTACAGAATCTAGGTTTTCACTGTTCTTATATTAGTGAAGTATAAAGTCCACCTATTTATTTGGTTAAATAATCTCTCTTTTTACAGCTGGAGGGTACCCTTGAGTGGGAGAGGAAAGTGAGAATGAACTGGGAAAGAGAAAAGCACAAACTGAAGGGTGACTTAAAGGTGACCCAGGAAAACGTGGAGAACCTGGAGCAGAGCCAGTGGCGGCTAGCGGAACAGCTGAGGAAGTAAGTGCCTTGCTGCTCCCTGAACTCCTGGTATAGAAGGGAGAGCTCTCTCACTTACCTGTCTCAGAACCCAGGCCAGATGTCTTGAGACCTAAGGCAAAGACAAAAGGTCTGGGAAATATTTTTTCTTTGCTGGACTTTATTATATAGTATCTCTCTCTCTCTCTCTCTCTCTTGCTCGCTCTCTCTCGCTCTCTCTGTCACTCTCTCTCTCTCTCTCTCAGTTTTTACTACATATGTATTAAAAAGAGAGAAAATACATAATCTAGAAGGTATGACTGGGAAGGTATTTAGCCAGTAGATAAGAAAGTTATTAAGCATATGGAACATTCATTATTGGAAATTTGAGCCTACTAGTCAAAAAATGAAAATGACTCACTTTTAGTCATGATGACACCAATGGCAGTGTAAAAAATATTGACCTTGATGTGAAGCCTGAAATATCTATTGATCACTTAAGTGATCTTGGTTGCCTACTATACCTTCATTAATCATTATATAGAGTTTTATTTTGGTCAAGCAATTGATGACATAAAAATGAAATCTTAGAATTTAAGCAAAACTTCAAAATGATAAAAACTGGGGAGACTTTCAGTTCCCATATCCACATGGGCTCCTTATATCCCGAGGAACTCAAGGGAAGATAGTTCTGTCGGTGCTTCCAGTTCATGGAATAGATTTTCTTAACCTTGTCCTTTTTGTCTTCTGTTTTGTTTTGCCTTGGATTTTTTTTTTGTGTGTGTGGGAGGAGTAACCTTTAAGGATTTCTGACATATTTAGATTAGGTCAAATAGGAGAGGAAAGTAGTGAGGGCCAAAACTAAGACAAAGCCGGGTTAAAGATGGGACCGTATCGGTCACTGGGATCCACAGTATAAAAGAGAAGAATGTCACGTGAGCAGTTTGGAGTTTCTAGCTTTCTTTGGTTTGTGTACTGCATTGCCATTGTATAGCCTCTTGGAGAACTTGACTAATGTTCTACCAGCTACTAACCCTGTGAAGTGTTTGCAGAAGATGAAATTGCCAGTCTTCATAAAGGGAGCCAAGGCAAACTGGAGAAACTTGATTTCAGGTTTGCGGGAAGCCCAGTGGTACAGCATTTGCCTACCATGGGTGCCTGCGCTCAACCCCCAGAATCACAACAGAAAAAGGAACAATTTTATCGCAATGGTGGATATAAACTTCACAAGAGCAGAGACTGTGGTCCTTCCCTGATAAGCCCCTAGCACAGTGCTTGGCACGCAGTAGGTGTTTCATAAATATACGTGTGAGCAAATGTGCATGTGAGGTGTCAGAACTCATCTGGCATTTAAATTGAGACAATCCTTGTACTATGGGCACATGCCACCACGCCTGGCTCTTATCTTCAAATTTTAAAACAATTATATGTGTTCTATTCTATTCTGAATGAATCTTTTTCATTTTTTGAGGCAATGTCTTGCTGTGTAGTTCAGGCTGGCCTTGAACTCATTTATGTAGCCCAGGCTGGCCTCAAACTCACAGTAATCCTCTGCCTCAGCCTCCTGAGTGCTGGGGTTATAGGCGTGTGCCACCACACATGGCGAGTCTGAATCATTTTAGATGCTACTAATGTGTGTGACATATATGCTCTTTTATCCCTAATTTATATTCAGTTATTTACCCATCTTCCTTTCTCATCTTCCCCTTCCTTCTTTTCTTTCATTTTTTTGAAATGGGTCTTGCCGTATTTCCCAGGCTGGCCCTGAATTTCTAAGGTCAAGTAATTCTCCTGCCTCAGCTTGCCAAATAGCTGGGACTGTAGGTATGCACCACCACATCTGCTCACAAGCTTGTTACGTTCTTTACATTATAAAACCTCTAACTGTAGACTGCAGGGTTAATCATCACTGTCCGCATTTCTTCACAAATTAGTTCCGTTAAATTAAGGAAAAAAAGCCAGGGGAGAGAATTACCATACCGCTACTAAACAGTTATCTTTATAATCCCTAGACTGTTTAGGGGCTGCAGGTGCAGCTCAGTGGTAGTTCATGTGAAGCTGGGGTTCAGTCTCTGGCACCAAAATAAATAAATGAATAAATGAACCTAACTAGCAGGACTTACCCAGTACTGTAGCTTCTGGCTGTAGCTTCCAAGGTCACCAATAATGCCCTTGCACCATGCGTGCTGGAGAGACTACCAGAACATCTAAACCATGTGAATCTAAAAGAACAAATCTCAGAATTAAAACAATGAAAAAAGAAAAATTAAAAGGTGAATTTGTTGACATAGTTCTACTCTTGTTTTACTATAAAGTTTAAAAAGGCCCAACAAGACGGCAGAAGCATCTAAGGGGACAAGAATCAGGAAGCAGAGAGGAACTCTTAAAATCATTTTCTGTGGTCTGTGAGTCTCTTCTTATGCTTTCATGTGAACATCATTTGCAATAAATAGCTCTTTTTAAAACCAAGCCCGGTGTGATGATGCGTGCCTGTAGTCCCAGGAGGATTGCTAGGAGTTCGAGGTCAGCCTGGGCTACATGGTGAGACCTTGTCTCAAAAAATAAAAAATAAAAAACAGTAATTAAACATTCAAAATCCCGCTTTGTTAAAATCTTTAAGCTACAAACATCAAGACTTCTAAAAATGTACTTTAGTGTTAAGAACTTGAGAATATATACAATGTACCAATATAATGTATTTTGTAAAATGTATATAATGTATACATTTGTATAATGTATATAATATACAAATGTACCATTTGTATATAAAATGTACCAATAAAGTTTGATTTAAAAAAATGAAATAGATAACCGGATGAATCTGGTGGAATGGTGTAAGGCAGAAAAATGATAATTTCCCTAGTGCTCAATTTTGAAGATTGTGTTTTGCTCAGCAGAGTAAAAGTGCAGGCCACAATTCAAAAAGTTTCAAAGTTTTAGAAATCTCCATGTTAAGGAAGCTAAAACTTCATCATAAAACCTTTTCTCTAAGTGGAATTAGGGGTACTTGAACCTTCATACAGTTAAAGATGGCACTTCAGATTAGTGATAAGATACCCACTAAATGGTTTTGGTACTATTAGCTATCAATTTCCTTCAACACAAAAGCTAAGTGCTCACCTCACTCCACCTGTAAACACAAAATTCAGCTGCATTCAAGAATGCAGGGTGAAAACAAAGCCATAGCCCTGGTAGAAGATTCAACATTATTTACAACAGTCAAGATGTGGAAACTGCCTCACTACCCATTAAAGTATGAAAGGAGAAACAAAATGTGTTTCTCTTTTATATACATGAAACTAAATATTATTCATCCTTTAAATAAGAAAATACTGCCATATGTAATAACGTGGATGAATCCTGAGGACATTAAGTGAAATAAGCCCGTCACAAAAAATAAATACTACATAATTTTACTAATATGAGTAATTAAAATTATGCAAGTCAGCATGGTTTTTGCTCGGCCCTGGAAGAAGGCGAAAAGAGGAATTGCTGTTCGGCAGGAATACAGCTTCAGTTATACAGTATTAAATTTTAAAGATCTGTATAATATTGTGCCTGTAATTAATAACAGTGCATTGTGAATGTAAAATTTGTTAAAAGGGTAAATCTTATTAATTATTCTTAATACAAGTAAAACTGTAAGTAAAAGTTTTAGAAGAAAATACAGATGATAAGTATCAGGAAATTGAGAGCTGAAGTTGTCTTGAGCAAGTCACAAAAAACTAAGGACATAAAACATTAGTAAGTTGACTACATTAAATTTTTAAGCACTTCTGTAGCAATAACAATATAAAGAGGAGACAAGTTATACAATGAGAGCATTGTTTGCAGTAGATATGAAAAAATAAATATTAAGGATATTTACAGAAAACCTATAGTTCAATAACTAACTGAACAATCTGGTAGAATAAATAAGTAAAGAACAAACAGTTTGTTCATGTTTTAGCCACTTAAAAGCACTAAGAGTTAAAAAGTGCTGTCATTAGTTCACAAGGATATTCAGAATAAAGCAATAAAATATTAATTTCTTCTCTAAGATAACTTTATATATATGCTGATATTAAAGCAGAATAGAGATAAATAATTATCTCATATTGCTACTAGGGAGGAAAGGGCAGGATATTAAATGCTTTTCAATATATATCTCCCAGCAGTTTCCTGCCTAATAGCTATTGCAGAAAAGCCTTGACAAGACAACATGTATTTCAACAATATTACTTGTCGAAGCAAAACACTGGGAGAAACCTAAGTGCTTCTAAGTAAGGGAATTCACTGATAAACTATAGATGGTCTTCATCGTGAAATACTGTGTCATAGTTAATTTTAAATGAAGTAATAACCTATACATGGACCAGCATAGAAACTTCTCCAATATATTATTTGGAGAACAATAAGTTTGACTTAGGATGGATTGTAGATCTCTACATGTGAATGCATGTAATAACTTTCATCATAAAGAAAATGAAACTATTTCTACAATTACACATACAAACCTAAGCATAACCATGTGGATACTTGGGAAAAATCTAGAAAGATTTGCAACAAATACATAACAGTGGTTTCCTTGAGGAAGATAACGAGGATTAGGTGTGATAGCCAAGATGACATCAAATGGGGATGCAATGGTTGAGTTTTTGTAAGAATGTACTTATAAGTTCTGTCTGTAATTTAAAAATACTTAAACTCAATATTATTCTTGAACAATTCTACTTTGTACCTTTTCCTGAACAGGAAAGAATTAGAAATGAGTCAGATGAATTCAAAGGTTGAAAATGATAAAGGCCTGGTGGCTCAGCTTCAGAAGACAATTAAAGAGCTTCAGGTAATCATTTATCACATTTCTATGTGTACTTGTATTTCAACCTGTGAACTGTGATTGACGTTTCATCAATGACAAATTATCTGCCAAGATATCCAGACCCTTACCCAACTACAGACAGAAGGAGAGCAGTGGTTAAGAAAGTAAACTGCATTCCATAGATGTGTGACCTTAGGGGAAATGACTTTAAGCTTATATTTTCTTATCATGAGGATAATAGCGGTAAGTAGCTTGTTTGTTGAATGTTTGGTATGAACAAGGTATGCAGTGTGCTAAAATCTGGGGCATGTATATTTTTAGTCATTAATCCTGGCATCCTTTGAGCGGGTACTATTAAATGTAATAATACTTTAAGTAGTAAGCACAGTACATGACCCAGAATATGTGTTAATTTTTAGTAATTTAATTTTTGTGATTACCTTTGTGATTAGAGGGCGGTTCTGCTGAAAATGAGTAGATCTTCTAGCTACTTCTAGACTCAAACCATTATTTGGTAATGGATAGCTATAAGTTTTAGACCATCTGACTATTTTATGTTATATCACCTTGTTACGAAGTAATAAAAAGTATATAAAATAATTACACATACACACAAGCATGTATACATACAAATGGGTGTTTTCCATCGGGAGCTGATGTCTCAGTAATGTAACCATTACTCAGTATACTTTTGGAACTCTGTTTTTGATACTTCTGAGACATTTTGAGTCAAATGACACAGCAAGTTTCATGCTTTGTGAATACAGTTTATTTTCAGAGATAATTTTAATCACCAAGAGACTGCCATATTTATCAGGCTCCTCTTCAAATGACACCTGACTTTATCCAAAGTGAGAAAATATTTCCAACTTATCCAAAAGATGAATTTTCTTACCTTAACTACTTCAAAAGTTTCTCCAAAGATTGTTTCTAAAGAAATATTTCAGAAATATTTGGTTCAGCGACAGCATTGATTGTGATAAATGTATTGAATCCTATGAATGATAATCCATGAAAAATAGCTGTCACAGGATCGAGTTTAATGACAGGTGGAAATCATGTAGTTCTCTGTCAGAATGGGAAGGAAAACAATATAAACTAGAATGTATCCCTTTCCCATTGTAATGTATCCTTAGTTACTTGAAGTGATGTTAATGAATGTCAGTGGCTTCATTCTGCTGTCATACAATGATATTGTCAAGATTGATGTGCTAATTACGCAACATTAAGAGGATTTGGGGCTCTGAGAGTTCATATCACTGTTTTCCTTTTTCTAACCATTGTGCCTCTAATGGTATCAGATATTCCAGTCACATTAGTAGTCACTGATCCTCCTCCAATTCTAATGTGTTGCTGCAAATCTCCTACTACTTGAAACCTCCCGCAGACTAAGAAACCACATAACTCAGTTTGTTAGCATTGTGTGTAAAATTAAATTGATATTATTCTCTAAGAGTGAGTTATGTAAGCTTGATGTTCATTTTGTTAGCTTCTTGAAGAGTTCCTGATAGCTGAGGTTGTCGGGTAAACAAATGATCAATGAGTAGGGTTTTTCAAATAAAACTTACCCATTTTTTTTGATAAATTATGTTGAAATATTTTCTTTTCTTGTTATATGAAAAATAGCTTCCTATTCCTTTGGGAAGTGCTCTTTAGTAAGATTTTCTCTCCATGTAAAATGTAATGATGCTGTTTATCATTAAGGGCTGAGAGATCTGGGAGAAATGCAAATTCTAATTTAGATGTTGGTATTGATTTGGGGAAATTAACTTGCGTATATTCTATATTCTTTAATTGTAATTTGGGAATGAAACAATGTCCTTTTATCTTTTTTGTTATGAGAAGAAGAAAAGATGAGTGCAATAAATCTCTTGAATAAAGAATGTGTTTATTATAAGTACTTATTACAAGTCAAAATTATACATTGCTTCAGAACCAGATACGGAATTTGAAAGAGGAACTGGAAGATGAGAAGGCCTCTCGGGCCAGGGTAGAGAGAGAAAGAGAGGACCTTGCCCACGACCTAGAAGATTTGAATGAGAGGCTGAGGGAGGCAGGAGGAGCCAGTTTGGCTCAGCTAGAAATAACCAAGAACCAAGAAACAAGATTTCAGAAGCTTCACCAAGACATGGAAAAGGTCACACAGCACTATGAGGCTATGTCTGCCTCTTTGAAAAAGAGACATGCAGATAGCCTGGCTGAGATTGAGGCCCAGATGGAAAATCTTCAGCAGGCCAAGCAGAAACTGGAAAAAGAGAAGAGTGACTTGCAGCTGGAAGTGGATGACCTCCTGAGCCGCTGTGAGCAGATGACTAGAGCTAAGGTAGACACTCTTCATTTCTTCTTGTGGGCTTCTGAACATGGAAAAGATAGAGGAGGGGAGGGAAAAGAACAATCAAAATGATGACGTGAGGTATTGGATAGTGAAGGTTGTATATTTTCAAACTGACTAGATCAAACCTAATTTCAGTGGTTACACCTAAATGTGACCTGAAAGTGGCTTCTGGTTTTATTAGAATTCCGATGCGTGTTCCTTAGGAATCTTCCTCGGGATGGTATAAGTAAGTGGGACATAGAAGTGAAGGCACTCTGCATCTCTTCAAGAATGATTTTGTGTTGTGAGCACTTCTAGTGGTGGCCCAGATAATTCCAGATCTTGTCTGGTGTACACCAATAGCCTTTCCTAGAAGAGGAGAATGTCTTTCATTATGTCCTCTGACATCTCTTTAACTAAATAGTACTGGAAGAAAGCTTTGTCACATGTTGTTTCTTAGCTGAGCCCCCTAACCTATACAATGCAGGTTCCCATGTCAAATAGTTTCTATCAGCTCATGGGTAACAGCAACCCTAACTTCTAATAGTTGAGAGGAACTTTGTTTTTGGTTAAGCAAAGCAAATGGTTAGTTGCTGCAGCCTCAGCTACTTGTGACCCAAATTTGTAAAGTTATTTTGGAAAGATAGGACTTAACAGGAAAATCTTGATCTCCATGGAGTGTAGGCATAAAAGATGAATTATAGTTTCAGAAATCCGAAGTGGTTTTAAAAATGTTTAACTTCATCCCTTTAAAAAGTCCCAGTTGAGTAGGAAGAAACCATCACATTGCGTTTCTCTTTCTTGGAAGTTAAAGTTCCAGCATATGAAATTTTGGGGACCACGTTGAGACCATAGCATTCCCACTCCTGTCCCTCTAAACATTAGTGTCCTTCCATGAGCAAAATGCTTCTTCTAAGAAGTCCTAAAGGTTTTATCTCATTCTATCACTGATTCCAAAGTCTAAAGTGCAGTCTTATCTAAATCATACATGATGGAGGCTCAAACTACAGTTCATCTTGCGTTAAGTTCCCTCTCCAGTCGTGAGTCTGCGAAATCAAATTATGTCTTTCCAAAATGCAATGGTGAAATGAACATTGAGTAAGCATTTGCATTGTAGAAGAGAGAAACGGAATAGAAGAAAATGGTAATTGGTTCAAAGTAAGTCCCAAACTGAGCACAGCAAGCAACATTCAATTTTGAAAACTGAGAATAGTTTTCTTTGACTCCATTTCCTGGCTTCAGGATACACTGGGGTGGATATTGCAGGAAGTTTTTGACTCCTGACCTTGTTGAGTGTGGCACACACAGCATTTCTCAGAGATTGATGGTGGGTGCCCACAGCTCTCACCTTCTCACATGGCATGCTGGTTCCTCAGTAATTCTGGGGTTAAGGGAGTGGACCTTCCCGCCCAGCTCTGCTAGCTGTGGTGCTAGGGAGAATTCTCTTAGTAAGTAAGTCCCTGTGGCAGTTCTCTGCTTGCACCTCAAGGTTCTCCAAAGCATCCTTTGAAATCTGGTGGATATAACTGTGTCTCTACAGTTTTTGTGCTCTGTGCATCTACAAAGTTACCAACATGTGGGTGCCATCAGGGTTCCCACTATGCCTCTAGAGTGGTGTTGGACGACCTCTGGGCCTGCTTGAGCCACAACTTGGGTAGCTGAGGAGCACTGCACAGACTGAAACCCACTCAATACACTGCCTTGAGCAGAACTTGAGGCATCTCTGAGCAGTGAGTCTTGAAATCCCATGAGCAACCTGGATCACCTCTTTGAAACTGCTCTATTGTAAAGGTGCTGGCTTTCTGGACCAATGGTTGGGGTAGTTATAAAGATCTCAGAGAGACCTTAAGGGTCTTTTGTAGAGTCTTTGTATCCATACTAATCTCATCAAGTGTTTGCTTTGCCATGTCATTGATGTTTTTATATTTTTAATTTTTTATCATTTGTCCAACCTGAGAAGTTTTCAGAAGTTCTGTATCCTTTTTCATTATAAATTCTGTCCTTAATTTATTTCTTTTATATTTTACTATAAGCAGCCTACAGAGATGATTCAGTACCCTGAATACATTGATTAAAGATAACTTTGCCACATACCTTAATTCACTGTATGTGTATTCTGAATTCTACAAAGTATTTGGATAGGGATACAATTCAGACAAACTCTTTTCCCCTGCATAGCAAAGGTGATCTTTCCTCCAGTTTCCACAGAGATATTTCTTAGTCCTAAGATATCAGTGGAGTGGCCTTTACTGTTTCTGTGTGTACTGCCCTTATCTGTATTCTGATCACATCTACTTAAATAATCTCTTAACATGATTGATCATCTCTCTGCAGCACTTCTCTTTGCTGAGCTCTCCCCAGAATCCACCTTTGTATTATCACATAAGCAACATGACTGGAGCAGTGCTTGAAACCTATTACACTGCTAATAAATATTCTTTCTTGTTTTTATAGAATAAATAAATGATAAATGACTACTATTAACCATCTTCTTGACAACAGGGAGACTATTGAGAGCCTTAGTTATGTTTAAAGTCACTGAGATTGTTTAAAGTCACTGCGAGAGATAGCATTAATTCTCAAGACTCCAAAATTCACACTAACATAAGTGGTGCTGCTGCTTATCGTATGAATATTTTATTGGTCAGTTTTCCAGTTGCTGGGATAAAATACTCAATGTACACAACTTAAAGAAGGATGAATTCATTTTGGCTTATGGTTTTAAAGGTTTCAGTCCATGGTCAGCTGGTTGTACTCCAGAAACATTGTTGGAGGTCTGCTCACCCATGGCATCCAGAAAGCAAATAGCAAAAGAGCCGGAGAAGAAAGGGCCAGAGACCAGATATACTTCCAAGCTCCTCCCTCCATGACCCACTTCCTTTAACTAGGCCTCACCTCCTAATACTCTATTCAGCTATGCGTTAATCCATGTGTTGTAGTCTGGGATTTGCAAGGGGAACAGTACAATACAGGACACATTTTATGAGATTATTTATAATAGTCACCCAAAGAATCATACACAAAAAGAAAGTACAGGAAATCTGTCCACACACTAAAGGCCAAAGAATCCAGCTAAAGACCTGGATCCCACAGTAATGTTCTGTATGAGTCCAGCTGAACACCTAGAGCCCTTAGCAATGCCCCCATGAGTCCAACTGGAGGTGTAGAGCCCATAACAATATCTCACTCAGGCCTGTTTTCACAGATCTGTGATGGGAAGGCCCAAAGGTCAGTGGTGGAAGTTAGAAAGTCTATGCCAGCAGGACAAAGGATTCATGCAGGCTAAGGGATCTGCACTGGAGCCAGGAAGTCATGCTCAAAATAAGAATCAGAGCTCTGCCAAAAAGTACCACAGCCATCTGCAGCAACAGTGAGGTCCTAAACCCCTCTGACAATGACAATGGAGTTCCTAGCAGAAAATCCAATGCGACAAGCTTCTCCAGGAGACTGAGCAGTGCACCCTCTTCCCCTCCAGAGCCATGAAACAATGTTCAAAGTGAGGACCAGAGCTCCTCCAAAGTTAACTGTAGCCATTCTCAGTGACAACAAGGTCCCAAGCTCCTCAAATGATGAGAACAGCCACATTCATATCAGCAAAGCCAGCATGACAAGATCCTCCAAGAGAAGCAACAGCTCCTTACAGCTTCTAATAGTACCCAACAGCTTCTTCCAGTTCCCAGAAGCCTCTAAGCTTTTTCCTCCTCAGTTCTGCCTCTTACACTGTTGGCAACAATCCTCAGGCCGGCCTCCCACACCCAGCACCATGCTGACTCAGTTCAGCTTGGTGTTACAAGCTGACCACCAGTTGTCATCTACCGCACCATTTATGAGGTTAGCAGCCTCATAATCCAGTCACCTCTCCAGGAGTCTCTTAAATCAGTCAAACTGGCAGTCAGGATTAGCCAACACACTATTAATTCTCCATTCTAGGGTTTTTCTAGCATGCACCTCCAAATTTTTTCACCTTCTGCTCATTGCTCAGTTCTGAAGCCACTTCTACCATCTTAGGTATTAGTTGCAAGAACACCCCATTTGTGCTATCAATTACTGTCTTTGTCTGATGGCGTTGCTCTAACAAAACACCCATGACTGAGTAATTGTAAGTACGAGCAGTTTCCTTCTGACAGTTCTGGAGTCTGAAAAGCCCACAGTCAAAGCACAGGCAGAGTTTGGTGTCTGGAGAGAGCTCTCTCTTCCATAGACAGTGTTTCTTGCTATGTCATCCCATGGCAAAAGGACAAAAGTTGGAGAGGAGATGAATGCTCTTTTGTACTTCTTTTATAAGGCCCCTATCCTATCATGAGGGTTTTTCTCTCATGATAATTATCTCCTAAAAGCTCACCTCTTAATATTGTGACTCTGGCAAATGAGTTTCAGTGAATGAATTTTAGGGTACACATTCAGAATATGTCACACTGCCATGCTCCCCTTCCCTGAATTATCTTAGAATTTAAATCTAGTCAGAAATGGGCCTTCTCTTTCTCCTATGTCCCTTCTGTATTCTTGTTCATAGATTCTGTTGTTTCCTGGATATTGTAAACATTCTTGCTCCTGTAAGCTTCATTTTTATCCTATGTCAGCCCAAGTAAAACTCTGGAAGTCTGCACTGTCTCCCTCCTCTACTGTGTTTCTAATTCATCCTCAGGAACCCTTCTCTTCTGAAAATATTAGCAGGGACACCTGAAAGTCTAAAACTGTTGGAGAGTTTATCATAAATTCATACAAATGAAGTCTAAAATCAAGTATTTTATACTTTCTAATATTCTCTAATCTTTCATTGCTGCTCAGAACTTATTTATTCTTTAAATTCGCTTATTCTTTTAGTTTATACAACATCTTCTATGCTTTGATCATGGATATTATCCCCCAGAGGCCCATGTGCCAAAGGCTTGTCCCCAGGTGTGACACTGTGGGGAGATGCTCTGCATCTCTGCAGGTAAAGGCTCATGGTAGGTTCTTCCATTGCTGAGGGTGTGCTTCTAGAAGGGACTGTGAGATATCACACGATC